TACGGACGATGCCAGTCAAATTATAGTTTACGGGCGAAGGGTTAATAAATCCACAAGCTTTTTGAAGTGTACACTTTTGGGAAACTAAAATTGACCGTATACCTTTTTCGGTATATTTCTCTCTCTATTTATAAATAGAACTTGCTTTTATATTTTTTTTATTTTGTTAATTGAAAATAACGAAAAACTTCTATTAAAACAAATTTTTATTTTATTTTATTGATTGCAAATGTATTTAATTTCTTTACTAATAAGTATAAATTACAGCTTTACGTTAAGTCAACGTTAGGTTTACATTCGTACATTATTCTTCCTGACCGATAATTTTCTTTTTTATTCGTTATATTCTTGAATAAAAATGACGAATTATGAATAAATTATTCATTATTCACGAATAACGACTAAATTTATTATATTTGTTATTTCTTACTCGTTATTCAGAATAAAATTTGCCCAACACTGGTTTAAAATCGTATACGAGGAGTCTAGTACAACCAGTATAGGGCCCATCTTATCTAGATAAATTAGACAGTCTTGAAGTTCAAATTTTAGGAAGTCGAAGGAGGAGACAACATATTATGAGAATCGAAATTGGTATTGTGAATCTAATGATGTCTTTTTAATCTTGTTTTAGAATTGTAGTGTCAATTTCTTAACGAGATAATTGTCGCGGATATTCTGCCTCGTGTCTTTTGTAAAAAGGATTATGAAAAGACATCTGAGAAACACTTATATGTTGAATATATATAAAGTATAAACATTTTTTGTTATTATATATATATTAATAAAAAATATGTAAGAATATAATTATAAAATTAAAAATTGCACGCTCTCACAATCAGCGTCCCAATTTATCGCGCGAGTATCTTTACAAAAGATTATAGATCCGCGGCTAAACTTGACCCGTGACACTGTAACGGATGTCGCTCGTTCGTACATACATAGCTGGATGCAACGTAACGTCGCAAGTCTTTTGAAGGCGTCTCGTCGCCTCGCATTTTCGTTCCGATTGGTCTGCGACAGAACTGGAGGGCGACGACCATCACCCTCCTGCTAAGAAGCGTATAAATCTCCGACTCGAGACTCCCTTCCTCGCCCAGCAATTGTTGTAGAACGGTGGTATCCAACTTTGTTTTAGGCCAGCTTGTAAACGCACGGCATCGGTTAAAAAAAAAAAAAAAAATAAAGGAGTTCGTAATGTGACAGGACTTTACTGTTTACTGTTAATCTTTTCGCTGCAGTTTTGCGATATACAATTCATTAATAGCAATACAATAGCAACAGTGAATCGATTACTGTGAACAATAAAAACATATCTGTTTTAATATTTAATCACAAACTATAGTCAGAAAATCATAGGCCTGTTCGTTTTAGTTGAACTTCTTGCACAATTCATCTTTTCTCTTTTTCTCTCCAATATGAAAAGAAAAAGAGGAAAAATGAACTGTGCAAGAAGTTCAGCTAAAACAAACAGCAGGCCTCATGAGAGCGAATGATCGCAGTTTGCAGCAAATCGCATTCTAATGTTCTCACGTTTTCAACTTGATACCGTTAGGCGTTATCGTTAACTTAAGCCGCTACAAGTTAATTAGCGATCGGTGCATTTCTCGAGTTGATGAGCGCGTACTTTCTGGAGCGCACGTTTTTTTTTCTCTGCCTTGAGAATCGGGGAGAAGGAAACCGGGTGAATATATATTAAAGACAACGTCCGGGCCACCATGGCAGAAAATAAAATTCTCAATGTGGGTCGTACATCGCTTGAAATAGAAGCGCCGTGCTCTCTCCTACCCGGCGCGCGGCGCGGCTTCCTCCTCGCGAGCCGCGGCGGTATGTCGTAAACGAAAACGAATTTGAATCAGAATGCCGATTGTGTACCACGACCGCGATCTTGCGCGTCTATTATCTCGCAAAATAGCGCTTGCCGTATTATCTAGAATTGGGGAATTTCGCGAGACGAAGATACAGATTCCGTGAGAAATTAATGTAAATTAAATACGGTTTAATTTATCTTTTGTCTGTCTATTCTATTGTTTTTAATCTCCCAAACTGTTCTCTCAACTTAATGTAAAACGAGGATTTCTGGCGAAGCCGTCTATGAACTGTCGCTTTTCGAGGATAACGTACCGAGAAAAGTGATTCCACGAGAATAGATATAGCATCATTCAATGTTGCCTGTTTTAAGGCAGTAGGCCAAGGATAGCAAGACGATGTCGGTTCGGAGTATTTTATGTTTAAAGAACCTTCGTAGAAACTCGTCGTTGTCAGGGAAAAATTCGTTCTTGCTCATAAATCCTCACAAAAATTTGTTTTCGCGTCTCGATTAAAACGTTGTGTTAAAACTACTTGAATCAGAAACAACGTTTGATTCTCTATCAATACTTTGCTTTCTCTTATTTAATCAATATTACTATATTGTATTGAGCAAGATGTTACGTAATTAGATTTAATAGAGTGCACATATATTTTTTAAAATAATGAATGAATGATAAATGAATGGTATCTGCCGTTGCATAATCGAGCGAACACGCTGCGGTTTGCAAACTTCCTGCGTTGACGTAAGAACTTGCAGATTGCAGAGAATCTTGATGGGCGATCGGACTGCTAAAAGTTACAGTTAGTTAAAGAAATGTAGCATAAACTTTAAGATGAAAGATATTATATCGCTAGTAGAAATAAACGTTGTGTGACTGATATTTATCGTTTGTTTCAGATTGGACAAAAAGACTAAGGACCTGCAGATATCAGAACGAAATGTACTGATATTCGAGACGCGCTGCAACGACTTGCAGTCGCAGTTCAATCAGTCGCAAGCGGAGCGCAAGAAGCTGGTTGAGAAGGAGCGGGAATGGGAGAAGGAAGAGACTCGATTGAAAGCATTGCTGGACGACGTTCGTAAGCACCTGGAGGAAGAGACCCTCCAGCGAATCGATCTCGAGAACAATATTCAGAGCCTCAAAGAAGACATCAGTTTCAAGGACCAAGTTTATCAGCAAGAAATTTCAGAGACTCGTACGAGACGACAAGTAAGCGAAACAATAGAGCCCTTCAAGCCTCGTTGTGTTGCTGTAAAAATATTATTTCCAAGAAAAGTTTCTCGATTGACATTTGGCAGGCATTGAAAAAAAAAACTGATTTGAAAATTTGCCTGGGAATGACAATTTACTTTAGTTACATTGCATATTTATGTAGTATTTATCAATTTATGTATAATATACAAAAGAGTTCTAATTTGTGTCTTGAACGCGTTTTACGTTTTACGATAAATAAATAAAAATCATTTATTGTCATCTCTAAAAGTACTCAATAAATATTGCTTTAAGACCAGCCATATAATAAAATCTGACCGGAAAAAGAAAGAGCAAATAAATTTCTAATCGATGTGACAGCTTCTAATTTAATAGTGTAGTTTCCTGTTGATCTCCTAGTGAATCTTTCGAAATAATATTTATTCCTTTGTAATTGCATTTCAGGTTGAAATATCGGAGATCGACGGTCGTCTCTCGAAGCAATATGAGGCTAAGCTGCAGCAATCCCTGCAAGAATTACGCGATCAGTATGAGGCGCAGATGCGTGCTAATCGAGAGGAGATCGAGCTTTTGTACGAGAATAAATTTAAGAATTTGACATCTCACGCTCAGCGTAATAGCGGAGTCGCTAACATAGCAACAGAGGAGTTAAGACAGGCTCGCTCTCGAATCGAAAGTCTTAATACAAGAATCAACGAACTCGAAGCAGCGTTCAATTCCGCTAATGCACGCATAAGGTAATCTTTACAAGATTCTCTTGTAAAAACATTTTATTTTTGTTAATACATAAATATAATTTTTTTAATTTACACTTTACTTTGAGAAAAACAAGAAAAGCACAATATAGAAATTAAGGATTAGTAGAGAAATATTATCTGATTAATATTACTTGTGTATAAGTAAAAATAGCACTATTAAAATAAATATCCAAAATAACATAAAATGCTTCTCGACAGGGACTTGGAAAACTTACGAGAGAACGAACGTGCTCGTTACACGGAAAGCTTGGCTGCATTAGAAGCGGAATTAACGCGTATGCGAGATGAAATGGCTCAACAGTTGCAAGAATATCAGGACCTTATGGATATTAAAGTAGCGCTTGATTTGGAAATCGCTGCGTATCGCAAGCTACTCGAGTCGGAAGAGGCTAGGTGAGTCAATATCATAATCTCTGTAAATTTGACTGGCAAATGTTACGCGATAAGATTAATTTATGCGGAATTTACCTCAATTCCAGAATGAACATCACACCTATGCAGTCGACGAACACGTCTCTGTCTACTGGTAGAGCAACTCCGTCTAGACATACTCCTCTTAGAGGCGGCAAACGGAAACGCACTTTGCTGGAGGAAACCGAGGAACGCAGCAGTAATGATTATAGTGTCACGGGTACTGCTAGGGGTGACGTAGAGATTACGGAAGCAGATCCCCAAGGACGATTCGTAAAACTCACCAATAAGGGCAGTAAGGTAAGTGGAAGCTGACATTTTGGAGATCCAACGATGTGCGTTTTAGCTTTATTCAAGTAAACTCAAACTTCTTATCGAATGTAACTTTTATAACAGGAAATAAGCTTGGGTGGATGGCAGATCATTCGCAAAGCCGGTTCTCTGGAAACTACCTTCAAGTTTCATCGTAGCGTAAAGCTCGATGCAGGTGCTAACGTGATGGTGTGGTCGGCTGATATCGGTGCAACACACGAGCCACCATCCAACATTGTTATGAAGGGTCAGAAGTGGTTCGTAGCAGATAACATGACTACAACACTGACAAATATTGAAGGAGAGGTACGTGCGTCCCATTTGCTATGTATTTAATCTATAAATGTGCATTTCTCGTTCTTCACCAAATAAATATTTTTTATTAATAAAATTTGAATAAATTTTATTAAAATAACGTTAAAAGACTCTTGAATGAGATAATTAGATATCTCCGACAATATATAATGCGTTATTATATGCATATAAAGATTAATTTTAATATTAAATACAATACGATGCAGGATTAAGTAAATTTTCTAATAGGAAATGGCTACATCTGAGCGCAAGAGGCAGCAGTTATCTACAACTTTGTCCCGACACAGAGAAATGGGATTCCGACCAACAGAAGAACTCCATCATCAGCAGGTAAGGATGCAATAAACACTTTATTGCATTATACATCATGTTGAATGTTGTAGTGAAATGAAAGCTTTAAATTACTTTTCGAAAACGAGAATAGACATTATTAGAAAAAAAAGAGAAAAAGATGAATGTAATATAATATACGATGCTGATATGCATTAGCGTTATATTTTAACTGCAGCATTATTTTGATATACTACCGGCGCACGAAATTCTATTTAGCAAATTGTATAGCAACGCAATTGTCGTAATGCAAAAAAGACTTCCATAGTGGGGAAACTAAAAAGATATTAGTCAGAATAATAGATCTTGGAAGAGTGATGCTTTTTAATTCTTGAACATCGATGAAGACAATGTGGCTATAATATTTATTCCAAGTTTTTAAGGCATTACAGGGGTCAATTCAATATTTAAATAAACAGTAGATATTTAGACATTACTTACCTCCCATTTGTTTCTGGAGATTCGTTATATACAGAATAAGTGTTGCAGTTATAGACTAATTTTGGGGGGGTAGCATTTTCACAATTCACTTCTTGTTCCATAGAGAAGATATCTCTACCCGTATTAAAGGGTGAGGGCACACGACTCTGATGGGCACTTTATGTAAGTTGTTTTATAACCTATCAGATGTTCGAACATTACATTATCGATAATGTTCTCCGCACTCATAATAGAAATTATTTCGCTTCATATTTTGTTGGTTTTCATGCAGCATTTTGCCTGGATGCTCACCGCTTAACTAAAATCTCATGCCTTACGAGAATTAATATAATCTTCGTTATATAAGACTATTACCATCCCATTAATTAACCACATTGTCTTTAATTAAAATATTATTGTCAAGTATATATACATGTTATTAAATATTATCTACATAGACAATACTTAAAGCTTTCTTTCTTACACGGAATTCAACTTAATTTAATATTAATGATAATTTGTGATTTAAAGAAATTTTGATCATGCGTCCTTTATATCTTATTAAATTTTAAATATCCTGTGATTAATATATTCTACGTATTAATATATTCTACGAATGTGCAAGATTCTTAGATTGAATTTTTATATTGCATTTCAGTGTGGATAATTTTCATCTTTTGATATTATACATTAATTACTCCCGAATTTCACAGCGTTATTAATAATATTTATTAGATAATTATTTATATATAATAATAATTTAGATAATTATTAATATATATATATGTAATCGGATTGGCGCCGAGTCATTTGAGAAATTGTATGCGCTTACTTTACTTTTAGAATGCGAACGGTAGTAACATTTACAAATAACATAAATCTGATTTAGCGTATTTATGTGTATTCTACGTTACTGCACACATGTTAATACAGTGATAGGTCATTGTATGCCAGAGATTGTAAAGAAAAATTAGATTAATGTTACCGAGAGATATATATCTCATGTATTTTCTCCATACGCATATCTTTTTCACCGTGTGAACATATAACAATGAGATTCATTTGCTTATATCTGTGACTAAATGGACATGCCGATATTCTCGCAGTGGATTAAGCGAACTGGGGTCCGCGGTGATTACTCATTTTATTTTACGTTTCTTTCGTTTCCTTTTGTTAATGAGATATACGTACGTTTTATGTTTCAGAGCGATCCCCAAGGTGAAGAGCGTTGCCACATTATGTGAACATAAATTTACCATAAGTTTAAGAGTAACATTAAAAGATTTTAAAAGCTTGTATGATAATGGGGCTTCTTATTCCGTAAGCGCCGTTTAGAAACTGATAAAAATTAAGAAAAAAAAGAGATCATGCCATTAACACACAGAAATTAATTTAGAGTACAATATCAGAGATATATGAGATACAAGATTCATTTGTCTGATATTCACTTCGAAGAGAAGGAGAATAAAAGCAGAAATGATGAATATTGCAGTTGAAACATTATATAACTTTCCTTACATTTATGTAATAGAATATATATTATATATGTATACATATATGAGAAGATATTGTATAATATATTTGAACTGACAAGAGTTCAAATCAAATTTAACAAATGGGTTTCGTGATGTGAATGAAATACGTTTTTTTTTTTTGCATTTATCAACCTCTATTCATTACAAAGGAAAAAGGGAATTGTGCTATTATATTCCGTTAAAAACCCACAGCCATACAACGATTACAGAGTACAGACGGATACTAATAGTACGCTTGTATTTAGCTCAACTTCTTCCTCCCTATTGTGTGCTGCGTTACAAGTTCAGGTTTACCACCATTGTGCATTCGTCTGTACTTCCATCAAATTGTAATACCGAAGCAGCGATACTTCGAGTGTGTTTTAATGATTAATAATTTCTTTATTTGTGATACGTTTATGTTTGTTTATTTTGTCCAGTAGAAAACATTCAAAAGAGCGATCGGGTTACCAGTATTTGTCCTTTTAAGGGACTACGAGATAGTAATATGAGACTGTGGGAAAGCTAAATATGATAGATGTACGACTGTCAATTAGATGGGACAGTTTCACCCTTCAATGAACCCCGAAGAAAACGCTCGATTAAACGTTCAATTAAATGTTATTTTCATTCTCCGACCAAGTAATATTTAATTGAACGCCGCATATTTTTATGCTAATGTAGGAGTGTGTTCTTCGGCTGGGAGAACCCGCAAAATTGTGTATCGAACTGTACGAATGCTGCCGATGTCCAATTGATCTTTCTACAGATCTTTCTACCGATAATTTCATGGGAGGTATGGGAAACGTATTTGTTCCTACAATCGCGCCCACCTGCATTCAAAATAATTTTTCTTAATTGTATTCAACTTTATATCATTTATACTAATAATAAAAATCGCAAATTAACCGTACAAATATACTCGTGATTATTATTTTTCATAATAGCGACAGCAGCTAACTGGTTTTAGGCGAACGTTAAGTTAAAGTAAGTTAAGTCTTTGATAAGAGAGCGTAAAAAAAAAGCCGAAAAGATTTAAATGGACAAATTGTTCGTATTTTATGTACATGAAAATCGGTTAGGTACGTACACAGAGCCGGTTTGTAGGGAAAATTTTCTTCTCTTTGTATGAGAACGCTATTTTATCATATTGAAAATATCCAATTTCGCATAAACCACATTAAGAATCGATAGATATTTTCCATGTTAGTCCGATTTTGTAATAAAACTCATCAGTTAAAAAATGTATTGTATTCTGCCAATAAAATTGTCTTGTTTCGTCACTTTTTTGCACCAATATACAGTTGATACCCTCCATTCTCTAAGAAGTCCTATTCCAAATCAACTTGTTTTCCTCTAACTGGGATTCTCCTCTTGCCCTAACTCTTTCGCTACTTGTATTTAAATAAGATAGAACGTGTAATAGTATTTTCTAAGCGTATGCCATTGGAATAAAAGTTGGGGTCGAGGGGAAAAAAATCTTAAAATAGATTTAATTCCGACAATCTTTGAAACACAGGAAATCGACTGTATTTTTAATGACAGTTTAATTCGCTGAATTTTGAAAAGTATCTATTCAAATATATATAAATTTGTATCAAAGATTATATAAATAAATGTAAAAGTTAATCTTTAGAATCCGAATAGATCTTTTTTACGATTTCTTCAATTTTCGAATTAGAAATCTTAAATATACACCAAAGTAATATTCTGAGAAAAATTTGAGTCAGTCTGAAGCCGAGAGATCGTCTCCTCGATTTCTAAAGATTAAATTTTGTTGATAATTTTTATATTAGAGTTTTATTAATATTTCTCTGTACATACAATACATATACAAAGGTTCTTCGTACATATTAAAAGGTAACGTGAAAATTAATATAAAAGTTCTTTGACATATCGTAATGCGCGCGTCATGACATGTTGAGGGTTGCATCATTATTTCGATGGTACAATGGTACGAGTTATTTTATTCGCTTTACGATATCATGGTGAAATAAAAAATGATCCTCTGCACCCGTATGAAATATAAATATTAGGAACTAAGCTGGGCGACATTTCGCATCCATAATGCAAATCTGTAATACTCTTTTACATTCTGAAAATGGATTGCGCGGCTCTCTCCGCATCATTTTATATATAATATATATATATAGTATATATTATATATATATATATATATATATATATTATATATATAAACTTAACTTTATCCTTTAAATTGTATACAACAATTTAAAGTAACGTACTTAGATATTCACATAATGGAAATGTTTTAGAGAAATAGAACGAAAAGAAACTCGAAGGTTTCAAGAAATAAGACTGCACAGATTTTGTTACGCTACTACGATGTTATACGTTATATAGCTTTATAAATAAATACACATAAAATCTTATTCTAAGCTTACATAAGAAATAAATAAGAATGCCTTCATACAAAATTGTGAAATAAGTAAGAAGAGACAGAGGAAGAAAAATCAACATCGTATCTTTAACACTTGGATAAAAGAATCCACTTTGACGTCGCAATATCCTCTGAAAGAAAGCTCTTCTTTAAGTACCGTAAATCGTGCAATAAATGTACCCTTGGCGTTTTACTATTACATCCACAAAAGCACGATAATGAGCGCGACCGGGATTCCGAGATTCGTTCGACCGAAATTAAAATCGGTAGTTCCTATCGTCGCAAAGAGTATAGTGAGATGATATAACTTGTTCAAAACACACAGAGTCCTTGAAAATCCATCACATTCATATAGATCTTATATGTATATATCGTAACCATTATTTATATATATATAGGTGAACACAATATAGAACATTTACACATTTTATAAGTTAACGCGTTTATATCTTGTAAGCATAGTCTTCGCGAAGTTATCTTCTCCGTTGATTACTTTCGATGTGGTTCTCTTCGGAGTCTTAAATAATTTAAGTATCCATTACGCTCGATATTTTGGATGGTAACGCTTTTGTATTATATCGCTTTAAGAGGCTAACATATATTTCAACAGTTCTTCTGAAAAACTTGTAAACTTGTAAATGTATTTGAAAATGGCAGTCGCCGCCAGGAGCATTCGAGCTATAATCTCACATTTATTGAACATGTGAATGCGTATTTAATGATCAGATACAAACTGTTAGGCACGTATCTGTCGATATATCCGATTAAATTATCTCTTTGAATCCGTTGATTAAACTCTCAATAAATACCAACAGGTCGTCAGATATTTTGAACATCGTTAATTTCTTTTTTCAAAGTCGATCTTTAACTTTAATCCTCTCGCAGTTCGCATAAAGCTTTACTCTCTCGACATCGACACAGGATCTTCCACAATTTTTATATTGTACGACGTTTCTCGATGATTATTTCACGAATTACCGGTCGTTAGATTGCTGTTCAGCAGCTCGGTGTTGGCGTTGTTCGCCGTCAGCTGCTGTTGCTCCTTCTGCTTCCTGCGCCGCCTGCGATTCCGCTTGTGCACGCAGAACAGCACCACGAAGATGATGAAGAGGAACACCGCGACGCACGAGGCTACCAGTATCCAGACCGAGCGGGCTTTCTCAGTCTCCACCTTCTGCTGTATGATGGTCGAGCACTCGTTGTACAGCTCGTACGTCCGATTGCTAAATTGCACGACGGTGCAATCCTCGATCGGTGAGTCGGTGCAGTTGAAGAATTCAGGCTTCATTTTGATCTGACGTAACTTCACCCAGGCATTCAACGTCTGACACTCGCAGCCGAGGCTGTTGAATTTGATCGCGTTCCGGGAGAGATCGAGGTACTTGAGCTCGCAGAACGGCGCCAGGTCCTCGGTATCGACCGAGGTGATCATATTGCCGGACACATTGAGAGTGACGAGGGTCGCCTGAGGGCCGATACGCGGGATCTTGGTGAGTCTGTTCCTGGTCAACTGAAGTACCTGGATGGGCGAGGTGACCTCAACCTTGAATATCGAGTCGGTGAGCTTGTTGTGAGCGAGGTAGAGCGTGCGGAGATACGGCAGCTGGAAGAGGCTCTTCGGTAGAGTGTCGCAACCGTTTGTCGAAAGATCCAGCACTTCAAGGTACCGCTGTTTGGCGAAGGCCCCTTCCTCGATAGTCTGGATGAAATTGTCACTGAGATAGATGAAGGCTAAGTTCGTGTAAGAGGCCAGGCTGTCGTTCGTCAAGTCCCTCAATCGATTCACGGTAGCGTCGAGCACCTATAAAAGAAATATTTTCAGACAAAACTTATGCATATGTAAAAAAAAAATTAAAAAAAAAATAGGAAAACATGTTTATAGAAAGATTATTCTCTGCGTAAACAGAAATAATTAGTACGCAACATGAATTAAATTGGATTGGAAAAAGTTAAAATCTTATATAACTTCGATATCGAGTAATATCGGAGTTCGGTAATCGATACATTAAATTATAATTATTAATAACACGCAAATGATAAATACTATGTGAATGTGTAAGCGTATATCGTTATAAAATTAATAAATGAAAATATCATCTCATTTCTGAAGGTATACAGTGTGTTATTCAGATGGAAATTAACACAACATTCGCGCTAGTTATCAGATTTCTGTTAGTAAAAAACGTTTCAAAATGAAAAATAGTAATTCCGTTGAAAGGAAAGAGGTCGGGATTTATCAATAGGATCTTTGTTTCCGTAAAGATGCACTTGTCAGATTAGCCGGTCAGCGAGAAGAATTAATAGCGTATAGCTAACCCAATAATGCAAGGACGCGAGATGTTAGGACGACGGATAATGGTTTCTTTGACGCGACCCCTTGATATGCAAATGCAATGAAGAAATATGAATATTATAATGCCTTTTATTTATATTAATTTAATAAATCTCGCAACACGTAATCTTTCGCTCGTTACAGTTTCTTGACACGTATCGGTCAAACTTTTCTCAAAAATTGACCAGTTTAAGTCTCGTAGTATCATTAATTTATTTTATAATTATATTAGATATTTTCAACTCGGTAAAATAAATTAAAATAAGATAGATTTAAAGTTGGAAAATTGACTTATTTACATTCTTGATGCTTAATTTAGAAAATATCTTTGAATTTAAAAAGCTTGTAAAATGAATAAATTCTCGGCACGAATCGATAATTTAATTAATCGAACCAATCTCCAAAATTTGACAGTTTAAAATTAAGTCTAGTGGTATCATTAATTCAATTACTTTTTCATATGATTATATTAGATATTCTCAACTCAGTTTAAAATTAATTTGAATGAGATAGATTTAAAGTTAGAAAATGAACTTGTTTGCATTCTTGATGCTTAATTCATCAGAAAAATGTTCAATTTAAGCCGCTTGTAAAATGAATAATTCGGGATAAAAATCTGTTTTATTCCTTCTTCGTTGCGTTTGAGACATGTGGGGAAACATTCTGGAGTTTCGTAAAAGGATATCATGTTCTGTTGACATTGGTTTGCATCGCGCAGACCCAACTCCGAAATTAGTATGTCTGGCATTTCTGCGTCCGTTAAATTCTGCGTACGAGTCTGCTTTGTCGATTGAATATATAAACAGCTCTTTATGCGCGTTGATTCATATATGCGGCTGCTCAGATTCACGTATAATTCTCGCAAATGCGATTATATGTATATTTATAACGACCGATGAAAGAACCATACGATCATACGTTCACATAATATAATATACTCGAATTTATCGATTAACGGATCTTTCAAAGCACAATTAATTTTGCTCTTAATAAGAATTTGATGCAAAATAGTTCGACGATCACAAAAAAAAAGTTATTCTATTAAGGTTTGATTCAAATTGAATAAAGATTTGCTTCAAGTTGAATGAAAACCGAGAATTTATCTATTCGAATTTATAAAATTCTATTTGCGAAAAATTATTCACCAGCGCGAAATGTTTCCTTGAAGAAAACTCAATTACAGTCAAAGAAAAATTTACATTGAAATTCCGTCGCTCTCGAATTTCCATCGGGACATCCGATACGCGAGATCAAATACCGAAGCATCGGTAATATCTCTATCCGACTAAAATTTCTCAAGTGTATTGCGGAACGCATCCATCCTCGTGACCCTGGACAACCCAATCTCCGGATTTAGCATGTCTGGAGTTTTGCCTGGGATTCATCGGGAGGTAAGTTTACCAAAGTACGAGGAGTGTAGTTGCAGACGTACGGGGATTTGCAGGATGCGGTCGTATCGGACGGACATCAGTTGAAGAAAGAAAAAGAAAAATAACGTGCCGGGTATATGGAAGACATATAAAGATTCCGTAAAACGGTGGAAAGATTCAAAGATTTAAGCTCCAGAAAGATGCATTACAATCTCTCGCAATCTCTCGCTCGGTTCGGTTACAAAAGGCTTATAACCGTTGATACCCCGTCGAAATACCTGACGGGAAAGGGTGATTAATTATTCGTACGTAATGTCGCTAACAATGAATGAATTAAAGGTACGGTACGGAGGGAGATCCGGAGATAGATTCATCATCGCGTTAATATTACACGAAGTCGGAAAGCGCCCGCGCGATCTATTACCAGCAGAAGGAAGTATATCGTTAAAAAGTAAAATAGTGATCAACAAAGGCGCTCGAGAAGAAGGTATCAACAAGTATATATACATTTTATCGTCGACGTTGATAAAGCGAAACTCCTGTAATGCTATTATGAAGTGCGCGTTACAAGACAGCGCATGCGTTAACCCGCTGGGACATCAATCCGTTTCGCAAGTCAGCCTTGTGCATCCTTTGTAAACTAAGGCTGTGCCAGATTTACCCCCCTTTGACGGAAATAACGTGAAACTGACAAGGGAGCGAAAGGGAGTGTCTATATATATAAGATATCCCGAAAACTTCATATTTACAATATATCGCTCTTTTATCTTACACGTGCCAGTTCCATTCCGACGATAAGAATTAAGATATAAAGTTAGCAATTAAGATAATAAAAATATAACGATTGTACAAAAGCAACGTGGAAACTTTTCACTTAAAATCTTTTAATATTGATCCTTTTGCGTCTTTCGTGTAATAAAAATCTAAATAAAGAGAAACAAAGAGAAGAAAAAAAAGAGAACAGAGAGAAATAAAGGACTCTATAGCTATAATTTTTAGAGAAGTTTATCGTAAACTCCTTCATTAGCTTCTATTTTATAGGAATTGTTGCAGATAATAAAAAAGATTCTCGATGTGGAAGGTAAAGCACCTATCCTTCGACCCTTGGATCGTACAAAGATGTGTAGGTACTTATTATATCAATTTAACATGAGATCCGAATAGATACTAGGGTGACACGTGGCTCATTGTGAAAGTAGTAGTGGGTGAGTCTTAAGTTCGAGTCCCCGACTGTCACCCCACATATTTCATCGATTTCGTTCGATGGCTGGTGCGTGGGGCTGACAGCCCTACCACGGAAAAACCCGTTGTTGCGAAGAATTTAACAAAAAAGACCTGACACACGAGTGAAAGGAGTAAATGGAAGAAAATTGTTAATAAGACTGAAAAAAACATCCTACGTTGCAATGCCAGAAGAAGAACATAAGAATATATTGTATTTACGATGTTTATTGGCAAATCTCACCTGTATATCCGCCTTCAGATTCGTCGGGATATCGTGCAACTCCAGATTCGTGCAGGACGCCCCCAGCATCGAATAGGCCCTGTTGTAGCGGCATTTCTTCACGGACGGGTCCCGGTCGACGACTTGCGTGGGGCCCGGCGAGCCCAGCACCAGAACATCCGGCACCGTGGCCACGACAAAGCCCAGTAGCAGAAAGCCATTAAAGAGAAGGATGCTCATGTCTGCAACAGATCCAGCGGAAACGCACGCTTGAACTTTGCCCAAATCGAATCCTCAATCGGATAATCGCTTTGCGAATACACAGGGTGGATGGGAACATCCCCACAGGACTGCCCTTGGCAGCACGACACCGCGGTTACGTGTAAGCGCGTCATTTGCCGACATTTATTGCATTGTAATTGCATCGTAAAATGTTACACTAAATTGGTATTTTCGGATATTTAGATTATCAGTACTTCAGAACACGTTTCTTTCTTACCACTCTCACTCCGTTTTAATCAATATATCATTTCTTTCCGTCTTAATTCGAAAGATTTGCTTTTTTGCCTAGGCGACGGGCGACGGTCGGCTTGAAGCAGTTAAACGAAGTTGATTAGCAGCCTTGTCGGATAGCTTTGAAAAAATTGTGGAAACTTTTCCAATCGCCCCTACCTCTATCCCTCCCCCGTAACGTCCATTTACGCGCAACTTCGGTATTTCCGTAGCTTAATTAAGTGCCCCTCGAGACGAAAAAGGAAAGAGAGATATCACTTTGAAATCGTAATAGCTTCAGCCACCGGAGCGCTATCGCGTCTATTTGCGCTCGCCCGTTGGATGCTTTCCATGTCCAGAAAACGGTATTCATAATTCCGATAAGCATCGTTTTCGGTCGGAATCGATCCGACATACGCGGCGGGCGAGCGCGTTTTCGGGGCGCACCTATTACACGCCCGACATCGCCCGGCGAGATGCAGTTGCTGACCTCTTATAGCCGGTTAAGTTGTCAGTCGAAATAGCTGGCCAGAGCCAGCCAGCCATCCGGTCCGCTTACCGTCCCGGCGAAGTAATTTCCAGGTGGCGATTTCAACTTCGCGCGCGCGGTAGAGAGAGAGCAGAGAGACAGAGAGAAAGAGAAAATTTCAGCCGCGTAAATTTTCGGACTTTGACGGTGGAGCGAAGTGAAATTACGGAAAGGGAAGAGAGGAAAAGGGCAGAAGGTTAACGAGGCTTTTCTCTCCTCTCTTCTCCCTGCACCTTGTTTATATAAAAGCATAAAACTCCACGGTGCTTCGTGCGAGAGGAACGGCTGCCGGAAATGTCCTGTTCGTTACCGCGATCGGGTCGATCGATCGCCCCCTTTGGTCCCGATAGAATTTCTCTTACAGCAGGTGTCAATGTAATACACGGGGAGTACACTTTACAACGTGGATTCGGAAAGTTAAGGGATATCAAGTTTGTAATTAATTGCTCGCGCGATATCCCCCCCGTAACACAGACGAGATGTAAATTCAGCATTTTTAAGAGGACTCTCGGATATCGGTATTATTAAGTTTACGGAGGACAATTCCAATTTATCGTGACTGCATTCTTTGGTTTTGTGTGTGCCTAAAAAAAAAGGTTGAACGCGCGTGTCGGACATAATATGTGAATGAATTTTTATGTAATGTTTATTTTATATTAGTATGACATTATTTGCGTGTACCGTCGCTGCTTCTGGAATATTGTGAAATCTTAATCCGCGTCCCGTGAGAAGCATTTTTTTTTCCTTATACCACGCGACACTTCGTGTAAGTCGAGAATATTTCTCGCCGTTCCTCGCTCCACCGCTAAGCGCCTCGTTCCTCGGTCCGCGAAGGCGCGGCCGTTGCGGATTTTTATCGCGGGATTTATTGCGCATTTCGATGAGATAAAAATTTCATGGCGCTCCGCCTGCTACCCCTGGGGCTGGATATTATAGCGGGAAACCCGGCTTCTCTCGACCATAATTAAAATTAAATTGCAGTTAGCTAAGACGAAAGTGCTCTCTTCGCCGAAGCCGAAAGCTTAATAGCATTGCGTAGGATGCACGGAGGAACTGGAGAAAGGAAGATGATGCGCCTGTGCACGTTGCAGTTTGTCGTTTACGTAAAGGACGACGATGGCAACGACGACGACGACGACGATGAGAGCTTCACCGACTTCCGTACATCTCACGCTCATTTGCCTGCATTTGAAAACGTTATTAATACAAATTGGAACAGCGGCCTCTCTTTCTCTCTCCTCTCTCTCGCCCCCTCCCCTTTCTCTGTCTTTCTCTCGCTCTTTGCGAAACTTTCGTGGATCTATCTCCCAATAACATCTTGATAATCAAACTTACTCCTTTGAGTATTCTGTAACATCACTCTCTCTCTTTCTCCCGTCCGTTCTTCCTCGTTTTATGAACGCGAAGAGAATTATACGTCTAGTTTCCGAATTAATCTAATAATAATTTCACGGAATATTTTCTACTTAATCATCTGTCCGCCGATTAAGTAGATTAAAAATTTCGCAAATTATGCAAAATAATTGTTTGGTATATATTTTAAATAAATTTTTGTGAAATTTAAATCACAAAAATTAACATACTTTTTTAAAAATCCTACATAAAAGATATAATTATTAAAAAATAAACTAATTAAGAATAATTTTAAATAATGTATATTACGTTACGAAATATGCTTCTATGTATAAGGTGTCAAAATACTCATTATATAAAATCATATTAAAAAAACCATCTTTACGCGCTATTTTTTATCGAAAAATGCAAAGAGACAGTCTAAACTCTAAAATGTCCCTTTTTCCCTGCTCTCATCGTATATTCCTATTTGCAGATATCTCCTTCTCGAGAAAGATCTTGATAAAAATATTGATGTAATATCACGAGAAAGCACTTGAAAGCGTTCGAAAGCTTTTCCCTTGATCATTGCAGTAATACCCTTTATACCATTTCGAGAGTTGAAAATACGGTGCGTTTCATTTACGGCTTGTTATAATGCCGTTATTTACCAATGGCTAAATACGACTCGGTATTAATTTATTATTTTGTATCCACTTTTGATGATCTGTGAATAATATATTCACAATGGTAATATATCGTTTCACGCTGGTCGCGTGACAAGCCGAGCGCTTTCGTTTCAATCAGCAGCGAAAGCAAATACAATTTAAAAGTACATTTTGCAATAGGAATATAGCTCGTTAAAGCACGAACAGAAGAGTCCAAATGACTGAGTCGAATGTAATAACGCGAAAAATATCTGGAATATATCGTTACGCAGAAATTGCTTAATAACGGCTTTTAAAATCTCTTTTTTTTTTCGAATTGTTTCCAACAAAAATATTGCAGATTTGAAATTATTGTAAAACGCTTAACAATTCGTGAAATAAAATGGTATAATTGAGGCAATCATTGTTATAAAACTTGTAAAAATACAGCGCAATGTTAGTTTCCAGGAGACTAAGAATTTTTCTTTCAAGATCTGCAGTCATCTGTTAAAATTTTTTTTTTCAAATTTTCTATAAATTCATTCGATTAATTCTATTAAGAGTGACAAACGACATACCGACTCATTAATTAATTGTAAAATTTCGACCAATAAAAAATCGTGGCATCACCCTCAATCGTGTACGTTTTGCCGGTGCCGGTCTGGCCGTAGCAGCTACAGGCAAGCACGGTGCAACTATACCCGGCGATGACTTTCTTCAACAACGGGCTGACCACCGTGTCGTACACGTCCATGTGTTGCGCACGTAGATTATACACATTGTATATGGGGTTTACAGTTTAACGCCGATTCCGGATTAACTAGATGATTTATTACTCTCGCAATAAATTTCGGCTCTTTTTCATTATTCAGCTATTATATCATCCTCAGCTGTTTTATCTATTTATCATTTCATTTATTGCGCTTTTTGGAGCAAATATTCCCTCAGAGGAAAATTTTATTTTAATTTTTGGAGGAAGTGAGCCATTCACGCGTGAGATGAATAATCGAAGAATAAATTTTCCGCGAAACTCGCGCAGCTTTGTCGACCACCGAGACTCGGAAGTCGATGCTATCGACAATGAAACAGTATACCGCGGCTCACTGACGTCGTGCCGGGGAGCTTATTTCCGGTGCGTATGGAAACTGGAGTGAGGGGGAAGGGGAACGGGGAGCGCGGTGGATCCGTTTACAAGACGTCGTGATTCATGGCCCGTGCGGTTTGCAAGTTTTGAAAGAAAGACGACGCGGTGTTTATTGTGCCAAGATCTCTGATGAACTGCAGAGCGCTGTTGCGAGTTTCAGACAGCCGTCAGTGCTTATCGCCGGAATATCGATCATACGTTGCTGTTAATATTCGCATGAGAGGTCAGGTGTACATATCGGGGTGTCCGTAACACACGTGTGTCGAATTTCGAACGTTTGTAAAACGCACGTCGAACACATACCCCACTTCGAAAGAAAGTCACACGGAAAGAGCCCCAACAGATGCGGCTCTGCAAAAAAAAACCGCTTCAAGGGGATATGCGGATAGCAGAGATATTCTATTTAAAGTTAATAATTCGTTAAATTGAAAAGAGTGGCTGACAGTTGTTATTAATATTTACATATTTTTTAAAATAATTTTCGTACAAAGCATATTTTCTATAAAAAGCAGTTTTTTTCGTTGTCTTCAATATACAGATCAGCTATTGTAGATATAACAACTTAACAGTTATTAGAGATCATTGTTCAAAAAAATATCAATATCACAACGGTGAAAGAACCCCTCATTAAAATTCAACCGGGGCGAAACGTTCCGCGTGGAATTTTATTTTAATTATTTTTACCGGCTGAAAGGGATGTCGTGGACTCTCGACAAAATTTTTAGCTACGTCAGAGATTCGCTATATAACAAAAAAACGAATAAAACTCGCTCCGCGAGAGAAAAAACGGGCCCCGACGTACCCGACTTACGGCAGCGAACATATACATATATCAAGCTTCGCTGCATAAGTAATTACGTCCCACGTTAAAAATCTGCGAAATTTTCTCGTCAGAGGGGAGATTCTCTCGTCGCGACGAGACTAAAAGTCGGAAAGAAGACCGGGCGAGACACATTGCACGTTGCGAAAAGTAAATGTTTTATCTCAGCGCGAGCGCGAGCGCGAGCGGAAAGAAAAAGGAGACGGAGTCTCCGAGATTCTCGCGAGAGATATAAGCGACGGAGAGAAATGAAAATTTCATTTACATCTTAATGGGAT